GCCTAGAAAATGTTTTGCAAGAAAAATGATTTCAAGTGTGTTTGATTGGTATAATTTTCTATCCGAATTTTTTTTTAAATTTTATATTCGTTTGGCTTTGTTTTACATGAAAATTGTCCATTAAAGTGATTTTTTTTCCACAATTGGTTATAAAATTTGTTTCCATTGCCAAAAGTAAAAAAAAGAAAGAAAAAACTGTTTCTTAAAAAATCATTTTTTTTTATCAAAGTTTAGTGTTCGTTTGACTTTATTTTATATGGAAATTGTCCATTAAAGTGAAATTTTTTTTTATAATTGAATATGATATTTGTTTCTATTTCCAAAAATAAAAATAAAAATAAAAATAAATAAAAATAAAATAAAAATAATAAAAAAAAAATTTGCTTCAGCCGGCTGGAAAATATTTTCAAGGAAAACAAAGAAAATCCGGGAAAAATCTGGGCTATCAAACAGCGCAAAAGATGGAAAACGGAAAATATTTTTCTACTTCCCTGAAAAATTTCGCAAATCAAACGCGCCCTTAGGGTTTGATATGGTAGATGATAGATAAGTAGGGTGGGTATTTAAAATATTTTTTATAGTAATATTATTAATAAAATTCTTAGGGCCTGTTTTATAACCATTATTTTCTAGGGAGGTTGGAAATTTTTTTTCTTTTTCCATGTTTTGGCTTGTTTGATAACCATTTTTTGCCATGGAAAATCTTTTCCTACTAATGTCCACACGTGCACATTTTCACCTAAAATGTGGAATTAGTTTTCCCACCATTTTTATTTTTTAATTTTTTTTTTTGGCAATTGGAACTAATTTTATACCCAATTGTAAAAAAAAAATTCATTTTAATGAACAATTTTCATGTAAAATAAAGCCAAACGAACACTAAACTTTGATAAAAAATAATTTTCTTGGAAATATGTTTTTTTTTTTTTTACTTTTTGGCAATGGAAACAAATGTTATAATCAATTGTGAAAAAAATTATCATTTTAATGGACATTTTTCATGTAAAACAAAGCCAAACGAACACAAAGAGATCCAAAATTTTAAAATTTTTCAGGTGGAAAATTATACAAATCAAACACTATTAATTAACAATTCCCTAAAAAACAAGTTCTAGATAATTATTTTCTCTAGAATTCATTTTCTTTCTACCATTATAATCAAACAGACCCTTAGTTTATGTAATTTCCACAAATTTTCTCTCGTGGATTGTTCTCTTATTAAAGTTTATTGACCCACGGCTTTTAAACCTTTTTTTAGATACGGCCCAATCCCCCTTATTTTCAAACGGAAACCTGAAGGAGTAATTTCAGGATCAGTTATTAGGGAAGTCCAAAAAATTTGGCTCTAATCCAAATATAGTAACCTAAAAAGGTCCTACCGGGAGTCGAACCCAGGTCGCTGGATTCAAAGTCCAGAGTGCTAACCACTACACCATAGAACCGTTGCTGAGACAACTATCCACATTCAATATATAAAACAAATTAACTCTCAATGTGCCACCTGAAAAAAAACCTAGGTAACCACTGAATTGAATGCGTTCTTGGCCCGAAATTAATACAAGTTATATAAGTCCCTATCATTGTTCTTATTTTATTTTAAATAGGCATTGTGACCGTAAAAGGATTGAGAAATGTACTGAAAGATATTATATAAACGTATAAACAGTTCAACTCTTAGTGCATTTGTTTTATACTTATATTATCAAATGAAATTGAGTTCAAACAATTTCATAATGAATGAGGCTAGAATTCCTCTAGAATCCAAGCACACAATTCAAATGCACAATATAGTTGAATCATTATTGCTTCACGTTCTAGGATTCTACTATTCATATTATTTTTAGGGAAATTGCAGCAACCCTAATCTTTTAATTTTTTTGCAAATTTTATCATAATCTTCAATTTGTACCAACGAAGACTGGATCTTTCAAAAATATGCAGCATAAGTCCAAATGGATGGTCCATCAATTTGACTATTAGTTGACCTCAAAAATATAAAAAAATAAATATTTTAACCATTTTAAGTAAGGGCATTTTCGTCAATAACATATAAACTAATATAGAAAAAAAACTTCTTCTTCCCCCCTCCCTACCCACCGCCATCCCCATCCCATACCCAAAACGAACCAGGAAACAAAGCGGCTGAAAAATAGCCATCATCACCCACGGTCACCAGAAACAAGCCATCGACCACCACGCCACCACCATCACCACCAACACATCGCTAATACATCGCCCCTCTCTAATTTCTCTCTTTTCCGCATTAATGAATCAAGCAAATTTTGCTCGACAAGGATAAAATCATGCCAGAGCTGAAATTTAGAAAAAAATAAAAAATGATAAATAGAAAAAGCTATCAAATATTGAACCCAACATGGCCTGTTGATGAATATCGAAAAGGGACAAAACCAAAAAATAATCCTACCAAAACTCAATTTCACCCTGAGCTTGGTTTCCATCAAGGAATAATCCATTTGACCATCCATTCAGCCTGAGCTTCTTCTGGAGCCAAGTCCTGATCGGGTTGATTCTCAATTTCATGGATCTAGGTTTGGGGATCTTCATTTATGATTAAGGGTTCTTGTGCATCTTGCAATTATTGTCGATGTTGCAAATCTCCTTCTAGAGGTTAGGGGTGTCCAAAA